GAGCCAGCATGCGGGACCGGGATTCGTAGTCTTTCTAGTTGCGTATTTTTCATAGTCTTATATTTCAAGTTTTACGACAAATTGTGACTTTTTTGACATGGAAATGATTATTTAAGATAACAAAAACACTATTATAACTAACGAGAAAAAAATACTTATATAATTATATATATATATTTACAAAAAGAAAAGAAAAATTTAAAATAAACTTAAGCTATAATTAAGCTAAACTTGTTATACTCTTATCTCAAATGAGAACTAATATCATTGCTCAAGACTGTGAGGACATGAAAGCATTTGGGTTTGTGAGCACATTTGTCAAATGTTTGTACCTTATTTAAAAAAACTAACAAATAACCTCTGAACAAATCAAACGCTGTAAAGCAACCTTAAATGCCAAAATACCAAATCAAGGTAATTAAGCTGTTACACTGGGAAAAGTGTACGAATGGTAACCCCCTGATCCCACTGGAAGCGTCTGCGCTGGTGGAATAGCACCCATTGACTAGAGTGGTCGCGATCGCTAAAAACGCCGCAGCCGCAACGCAGCGCAGACGCTCCTGGTGGGATTAGGGGGTAACCCCCTGATCCCACTGGAAGCGTCTGCGCTGCGGCTGCGCCGCGCTGCGACCTCCTCCTGCGTCCTAACCCACCAGGCGCGTTTCAAAACGTTGCGGAAGCGGAGTGTCGTGTGTGCAGCCTCGCAGTTGTTGGATGAACATTCCACTTCCTGCCTGCGCCGCGCTGCGCCGCGTCAAAAATAGGATTCATCCTATATTTTAGAAATTCCTTGCGGCGAGGAGCTTCTGGGACGCTTCGAGCCGCGGCGCAGCGCGGCGCAGCGTGTCTGGTGGAATAGCACCCATTGACTAGAGTGGTCGCGATCGCTAAAAACGCCGCAGCGCAACGCAGCGCAGACGCTCCTGGTGGGATTAGGGGGTAAGAGTCGCTGCGTTTGGCTGGCTGCTTTAGGTTTCAAAGATATTTAATATATAATATTCGCGACATATATATGTATTGTTTTAAACCTTAAGCTGCCTAATAACTTGCTATGTCCTTATTATTTTTCTATTTCCATGTTTTAATTTTGCCTTTGTATTTCAAAAGTCATCTTCTTTGATTCTATCTACGACAGTCCATGCATAATTGAAAAGACTATACAGTAGTGTGTGTGCTTGTAGATTTCATTGTAGATGCATGACCATACCCATACAACATTTTTTTTATTTTTGAAACGTTACATAGTACAAAACATGTGACTATCTCCGGCATTTAATAAAATGTAAACAGTAGACATGGAAAATTACCAGCATATTTAGAACAGTTGGAAAAATGTGAATATGTGTATACTTTTTTTCACATTTAATTGTAAAACACACAATATTAGGTCCCTCTTCTTTTTAAGGGGGCACTATTCTGCTTTTCCCTTTCCTGTAGTTTTATACTACTATATAGGTTTACAGTACCAGTCAAAAGTTTGGACACACCTTCTTATTTTTTACATTGTAGATTAATACCGAAGTCATCAAAACAATGAAAGATGTGATAGTAAACAAAAAAGTGTTAAACAAACCAGACTATGATTTATATTTGATATTCTTCAAAGTAGTCCCCTTTTGCCTTGATGACAGCTTTGCACACTCTTGGATTCTCTCAGCTCCATGAGGTCGTCACCTGGAATGGTTTTCAATTAACACGTGTGCCAAGTTGTCAAGAGTTTATTTGTGGAATTACTTGCCTTCTGAATGTGTTTGAGACCATCAGTTGTGTTGTGCAGAGGTAGGTTTAGTGCACAGCGGAAAGCCCTATTTGCTACTGTTGTAATGCATATAATGGCAAGAACCACTCAACTCAGTGAGAGAAACGACCGTCCATCATCACTTTAAGAAATTAAGGTCAGTCGATCCGTAACATTCCAAGAACTTTGAATGTATCCTCAAGTGCAGTCGCAAAAACCATCGAATGCTATGATGAGACTGGCTCTCATGAGGACCCCCCCCCCCCCCCGGGAAAGGAAGAGCAAGAGTTACCTCTAAATACAGAAGAGTCACCAGCCTCAGAAACCACAAATTAAAGCACCTCAGATTAGAGCCCACATAAATTATCACAGAGCTCAAGTAGCAGACAAATCTCAACATCCACTGTTCAGAGGAGACTGCAGGCCTTCATGGTCTAATCGCTGCAAAGAAGCCACTACTGAGGATGAACAACAACAAGAAGAGAATTGTTTGGGCCAAGAAACACAAGGATTGGACATCAGACCAGTGAAATCTGTACCTTGGTCTGATGAGTCCAAATGTGAGCTTTGTGGTCCCAACCGCCGTGTCTTTGTGAGACGCAGAGAAGGTGAGCGGATGGTTTCTGAAGCATGGAGGAGGAAGTGTGCTGGTGTGGGGGGGCTTTGCTGGTGTCACTGTTGGTGATTTATTCAGAATTCAAGGCACACTTAACCAGCATGGCTACCACAGCATTCTGCAGCACCATGCCATCCCACCTGGTTTGCGCTTACTGGGACCCTCATTTGTTTTTGAACAACTCAATGACCCCAAACACACCTCCAGGCTATGTGAGGGCTATTTGACTAAGAAGGAAAGTGATGGAGTGCTGCGTCAGAGGACCTGGTCTCCACAATCACCAAACCTTAACCCAATTGAGATGGTTTGGGATCAGTTAGACGCAGAGTGATGGAAAAGCAGCCAACAAGTGCTCAATACCTCTGGGAAGTCAAGACTGTTGGAAAACCATTCCAGGCGAAGACTTCATGAAGCTGATTGAGAGAAGCAAAGCTGTCATCAAGGCAAAAGGGGGCTACTTTGAAGAATCTAAAATATAAAACATATTCTGGATTGTTTAACACTTTTTTGTTTACTAAATAATTCCATATGTGTTCTTTCATAGTTTTGATGTCTTCAGTATTAATCTAAAATGTAAACAAATTCAAATAAATAAAAACCTTCGAATGAGAAGGTGAGTCCAAACTTTTGACTAGTACTGTATGTGCATGTAAATGATCTGAGGGAGTTTCTCTCCAACACACGCCTTGATTGGACCCCTTTGTTTACTTCCGTAACATAATGACATCACTATGTAACACACGCAGTTCTATTGACTACCACACCAACACATTGTATGCTTTAGGCTGAGGGGTGGGACATCTGAAAGCGGTTGACCAATCACAACAGCGGCCAGCTAACCAATCAGAGCAGACTGGGCTCTGGTTTCAGACAGAGGGTGAAAAGAGGTGCTGCAGCACAGGCAGTATGAGAAAAATAAAGATTAAAGCATGGAGACATGTCACTGTGCAGGTACAAAATACAAATATGAAACCTGAAAATGAGCATCATAGTGTCCCTTTTTTAGTTAAAGTTCAGATAAAGTGCCAGAGAAGTGCAGTCAATCCATTTGTCTACATATATATATATATATCCCTTGTGTTATGTTCACATTTCGCACCCTTTGGTAATGTTCAGGTCAAATTGACCCGGGACATATTTCAGGGTTTAAAAAAAATACAGAACTAAATTCAACATGCACAATTCCTTATATATATTGTCTTCAACTCATTCCCCAACAATATAAATGAAATATATGATTAGTTTTTGAAAATACTCTTTGCTAGATCAAATTTAACAATGGAAGTGTTTTTTGTGATAAAAATGTAATTTATGTTAAAAAAAAATACACTGTAATAAAAACTAGGTTTACATTTTGCTCATGCTTTTCTGATTAATGTAAATGAAACATTTTTTCATTAATGTTTATTATTTTTAATCTGTCATATAATAATCAAAGCCCTGAAGGAAATAAAGCAATTTAGCAGCAATTGGAACACAAGAACCACACATCCAAAAGTATTTGGCTGTGAAATATAGAGGGAATGAAACATCCATATAAATGACATAGAACAGATATAAACACAAAGCAAATAAAAACAATTAACAGTCACTATTCATAAAATACAGTATATCTGAAAACTATATTGATGAAGTGACGCTGCAGAACATCATGTGAGTCAATGGGCAAGTCAGTTTAGGAAACACATGATGTGCAGAACTTCTTCGTGTGTATAGCACAGATGTACTTGTTGCAGTTGCTGCATGTAGTCTGTGTCTTGAGTCCTTTGAGGGCCCACAGACCACACAGCTGGCTGTGGGGGTATTCCAGAAGCTGGCTGTGGGGGTCTTCCAGCAGCTAGCTCTGAGTCAAGTTCATCTTCCAATTTGCTGTAAAATTCTGAGTTTACCTCCACATTATCCTGATCTTCAGAAATGTCTTCCTGTCCCACTTCACCGTGTTCCTCTAATGCATTCCACTCACTCTCATCCATTATTAGCTCCAAGGCTCTGAGCAGAATATCTTTTGGCCATTTTGTTGGTAGATAATTGTAGTTCTGCACTACACTGTTACTACACTGAGGTTATGTCTCTGTTTAGTCCCTCCTCCGGCGTGCAGGTGCGAGGGGGGACAGTGCGAGAAAATGTCAAATGTTTATACATTTCTGGAAGATCTAAAATGTTTATAATGTTCTAGGATAGTTTTGTGTACACACTACAAAGGGTAAAGATCAAGGGAAACCAGGATCAAACAGCTTCTCTATGCATACGATCGTGTGTGTTTGTGTGTGTGTGTGTGTGTGTGTGTGTGTGTCTTTAGTGTGTGTGTGTGTGTGTGTGTGTGTGTGTGTGTCTTTAGTTTGTGTGTTTCTGTGTGTGTGTTTCTGTGTGTGTGTGTGTGTGTGTCTTTAGTTTGTGTGTTTCTGTGTGTGTGTTGCTGTGTGTGTGTGTGTGTGTGTGTGTGTGTGTCTTTAGTTTGTGTGTTTCTGTGTGTTTTTCTCTGTCTGTCTGTTCTGGTATTGTATCCGGGTCAGATTGACCCGAACCTCTTATGAAGGACATAAATGCGGGTGGGCATTTTTTCACAAGTGAAAAAAAAACAAAACAATTCCACATGTCCTTCACAATAAATAAGCCCCGGCCATTGAGTTTCAGGTTGAACGAAAATATCCTTATATTTTTTTTTATTCATTGAAAATGGAAATCGGGTCAATTTGACCCGAACACCACACAAGGGATATATAACAAATCAAATCATTTTATCCTATGACATTGAACAGAGAGATCTCCAGATGATTAGACTGTAGCCCTTTCCTGATCCAAATTGTGTGTCTGAGCCCATTTTTCCAGCTCTGCCTTTACTGTACTTGCTTCAGGACGCTCTTCTGGCTTCTCACTCAGCATTAACTTGATGATTTCGTTCTGCAAAAGAAAATTCTACTGAGATCTTTGAATCAATAATGTTATGCTGTCTACATTATTGTTGAAGCACTACTCAACAGTATTTCTGATATCAAGAATGATATTTTCTAGAAACAGTTATCTGTTACATCCAGACAGCGGCCGTTCTGTTTTGATTCCTAATGAGTGGTGGAGGAACTATTCAGATCCTTTACTAAAGAAAAAATTATAATACCACACTGTTAAAGCAGTCCATTAAGTATATTGCTCAAGTTCTGACTCTTATTTAAAATGCACCATGCTATTTTTAGACAATAGCATAGGTCTCAGATATATACAAATATATAAAAAACATGTCTATGAAGTGTTTTGCTCAAAACACCAAACAGATCACCCATTCTAGCCGTGCCTCATATCCCTCTATTTCACTTCTTGTTTCAAAAGTGCTGATTTTGGGTATAAAGCTTTTTTTAAATGTTATAACAAATAAAAAAGGAGGGGTCTGAGCTCATGCGGGACCCGGCAGCTACTGTCTAAAGTAAATACTGCCGTGATGAAACGCCATATCATGGATTATCAAGGGTTCTCTCTGAAACAGTTTGGAGCTCAAAGGCTTTCTCTCTTGCCACAAGGTGAGTTCCTTTTTATTTCCTGCTTCTTCACACACATGCTCTCCAGTACAGGTTAGCTCTGAGCGTCAGCGATGCTAATGTAAACACCGACCATATTACGTCCAAAACAGTCGGACATTGTTTCTGATAGCAACGTTTCTGATAGTGCCGTGGGTCCACATTTCAGATATTACGTCATATTGGACGCAAATCTGGATCAGCTCCGTTGTTCCCCCGTTTTTAGAGATTTGGGTACGGAGGAAAAGAGAGAGGGTTTTATTTTCTGACGCTGCGTGAGTTCCCTGACACACCGGGGACACATGTTTATGTATAAAAGACATAAAAAAGTGCATTTTGCATGATAGGTCCTTTTTAAGTAAATGTATGCAAGTATTATCATGAAATCACGAAAAAGGTACTAAGTGCAGACAAATGGACCCTGTGACTGTGAAACTATAAGGAGTCATACTGTTCTTAAATGTGTAAAGTGAGACCGTCACATCATTGGTTTGTTCGAACCAATTTTCAAAACCTCAAAATTGTATATATAAAAATAAATAAATTCCAATTATTAATATAAACATCAGCAAATCCTCATGTTCGAGAAGCTGCAACCAAATATTAAAGTTACAAGTCTCATGAGAAGAAAATACTAGAGTTAAATAGTACCTCAAATTTGAACTTGAAGTACAGTAGGCCTGTAATAACAATATGTTAATTTACCTCTTTGGCAAAAGTCAGTGAAAACTCTTCTGGGAGCTTCTGACTTCTGGCATCATTCCAAACCTGGTATTCATAAAGTGATAAAAGGAAAAATAACAAAGAAAAAATCAATGGAAGAAAAAAATCAAACAAGATATATTAGAAGATAAATTATAACGTTCCATCCTATCTGCTATCTGTAGTAGACTGCTTTTGCTACACTCCATACTGATAAGTAATCTACTATTTCATATTTATTTATTTGTACATGATAAACATTATCCTACACAATATGGTGAAATTGTTGTGGCAAGTTATTTATCAAATTTGAAAAATGTAACACACAACACACACATTTCGGAAATACTCACCACTCCTCTTTCGTGGCCAGTAGAGAGTGTCCAAAGGAGTTCAAAGTATATCAACCCCAGAGCAAATATGTCCACCTTTCGGTCATAGGTCTTCCCCGTTATCTGTGATAAGAATTGCAAATAGTTAAGACAGATGAAGATGAGAAATTTGGGAGCATCGATAATGGTGGTAGGCATAAAAGGTAGCCTACCTCAACCTATAGAGTGGTGCAGTGACGCATCCTAAAACCCGGAAGGAGTTTTAGACCTTATTTCCAGCTATTTTCCTAAATCCTATGGAGAAATATCATTGCTTTTTTGTCGAGGAAACCGGAAGGAGTTTACTTCCGGGTTTTAGGACGCGTCACTGCACCACTCTATGAGAAGAACACATTTGTTAAGACAACAATAAAGAAGAGTTATAAGTTATAATCAGTAAAGACCATCTCACTTGCTCAGGAGCCATGTAAGTCGATGTTCCTCTGTGTCGTGTTCTCTCAATTAAAGCAAAGTCATCATCATCATCATCATCATCTCTGGTGACCAGACCAAAGTCCCCGATCTTCACTTCTCCATCCATTCCAAAGAGGATGTTGTCAGGCTTACCATTATTGAGAAAAACAGAAATAAATCATTAAAACAGGGGTCTCCAACCTTTTTTAGGATGAGAGCTACTTTCAAAAAGTAAAACAAGTCGTGAGCTACTTTTACTCCTCTTTGTTTTGTTTTTTGCAGTAATTTCATTTCAAACCTTTATTTAAGCAGGTGAATCAATCTGTGGGACCCGTTTTCAGTGTTTACTAAAAGAAAATGTATGCAATTTAATTATTTATTTGGGGGTGGTCCTCACCTCCTCTAGGGGGGGCATGCACCCCCGGGAAGATTTTTTTTAAATGTTGAAGTTAAAAGCATCAATCTGGTGCGCTTTGAGCACAAAATGAATGTATGGATACAGCTCTCAACACTCAGATGAAAGAGAGCTGTATACTTTTCAATAATCCAAACATCTTTAGAATATGATCACAACCAATAACAAATCATTTAAACTTGTTTATTCTTATCTTATGTTACCTATAGTTAGTATTCTTTCTTTTTATTTATGCATATTTTACTAATCACTCCCCTTTCAAACTGTTTTTTTTTTCTTTTTCTGTCCTATAGTACATATTGGAATGATTTCTTACTTTATTTTTTAAAATTATATTAA